ATATGAGAATTAAATATAATAATTATGCAAAAAAATTATTAATTTATTTTGTAAATTATTATGGAAAACTGTATGGTAAAGAATTAATATCTCAAAATAACCACAATTTAATCCACCTAAATGAAGATGTCCTGAAATTTGGAAATTTGGATTTATTTAGTGCATTTAAATTTGAGAACTATATGAGCAATCTTAAATAAATTCTTAAGACTTTAAACAAACCCCTACAGCAATTTATTAACAGAGTATATGAATCCCGAAAATGTAGAAAATTCAGAACATCTTCCAATCTTGAGCCATATTTTGAGCCACTTTTTAATAATAATTGTTTTGATTCATATAAAGTATTACGATACAAAAATATCAAATTTAGTACAGGATTGAAAAATAATCATTGTATTATTAGTAATAAGCATGTATTTAGAATTTCAAAAATTTTGAAGTGTGTAAATACAAATAAGACATATATTATGGGCCAGACATATGTAAACTTTGACAATTTTTTTACTTTACCATGTCAAAAATATTTTTTGAACCACAAAATGTATAAAATATAATAATCATATATTATCTTTAGTTTAATAATAATTAGTGTATATATATAAATATTACATATATGCACCTATAGAAGATGGCAACTATTGCATGTGGCAGAGCAACAAAAAATCTGAAAGAATGGCCATCATTAGGCAGGTTTCGCCAGAAAAAAATTGATTAATACTGAAAGTAAAAATTTTAGGTGAATATGGTAAGTTATTTTTTATTTATTTACGAAGTATTGAAATATCATATTTCAAATATGTTTAACTTATTAATTATTTTAAGAAAGAAATGCATTCAATATAAAAAGTACATAACATTTTGACAAGCAGAACATTTTGTAATAAAAAGTTTCCTATACGTTGTTTATATTTCAGGGGTTTAATATCAAAACGTACTATCTTCATGTTGACTTTTAAACTTCATCATTTTAACTAAAATTTTAATATATTAACAGTTTTTGTATCTAAATTAACTTAAACATCATCTACTCCTTAATTTATAAGTTAATTTAGAAAAAAAAAATTGTCAATACATCAAAATTTTAGTCAAAATGAAGGAATGACTTAAGTCAAAATTGAGATAGTACGTTATGATACTAGACCCCCTCATGGCGAACGCGAAAATGGCGCACTAACTTACTTTTTTATGCTTAAAATAACTCCTTTATTGGTTTGCAGTTATATCACAATTTTTGGGAGACCCTATAGGGTCTATTATACAAGGTGTCCCTAAACTTAGTGGCATAAATTTAGGAGCAGATTAAGCAAGTCAAAATAAGACGAAAATCTAAATAAATATTTTTCCTAATTACGTATGTTTAAAAGTTACAGGGTGATAAAGTGTTACTTATCATATCAGTTTTTTTAATATAACTTCTACTATGGTAGACTTGGAAAGGTGATATTTTGCAAACAGTCACTTACTACCAAAACACATATTCACACATAATTACAATTGTTTGAGTGAACACAGTGTCGTAGAAACGGGGGTTGCTTTAAGCTTATTGTCCCATACAAACTTTGAGGTTAGGTTTTTGTAACATTTGATGCAATTTATCGATTAAACAGTTCGGCTACCATTAAAAAGGTGTACCTCTCAAACTTCGATAAAATAAACCGTTTCCGAGATATTTGATATTACAATAATTGTTGTATCGCATTATTTAAAAGGATTAAAAGGTATATGATAACAAATTTTATTTTTTAATTGAAAAAACTAAAAAGGGCATTCCATGAGCCTCGGGACTTTTTGCCCTGACCGTCACATTAAAAAAAATGTAGTTTTTTCAATTAAATTTTTTTTATCATATAACTTTTAGTCCCTTAATGCGATATAACAATTATTGTAATCTCGAATATCTCGAGAAAGGTTAATTTTATCGAAGTTTGAGAGGTACACCTTTTTAATAGTAGCCGAACTGAGTAATCGAAAAATTGCATCAAATGGTATAAAAACCTAACCTCAAAGTTTGTATGGGACAATAAGATTAAGCAACCCCTGTTTCTACGACACTGTGTTCACTTAAACAATTGTAATTATGTGTGAATATGTGTTTTGGTATTAAGTGAATGTTCGCAAAATATCACCTTTCCAAGTCTACCATAGTAAAAGTTATATTAAAAAAACTGATATGATAAGTAACACTTTATCACCCTGTATCTTTTAGACATACGTAATTAGGAAAAATATTTATTTAGATTTTCGTCTTATTTTGACTTGCTTAATCTGCTCCTAAATTTATGCCACTAAGTTTAGGGACACCTTGTATAATTTTAATTTTGTTTTAGTAAATTATGAACAGGCTCTTGCAAAAGAAAAACGAGTATGCAAGACAGATGATACAGATGAAAGTGACACGTCAAAACAAATAAATAAGAAAATAAAAATAATAAAAAACAAAAAGTAAGATTAATTTGCACAGTGGACTGATTGTAGATAAAAGTATTTTTGTTAACTTAAAATTATTTATTTTGTTTAGAGGCACTTACATGTAAATCTTCAGAAGAAAGTGATCTAGAGGTAAATAATCAAAATGACGATAAAGACAATGACGTTAATGATGTTGAAGATATTCCAAATGTAGATCTAGAAGTAGATCAAAATGTTGAGAACAATAACATTGATAAAAGTATTAATTAGTGTATTAATTAGTTTCATTAATTTTTGTATGCTTCATTTTAGGTAATTTATTTAAAGTCTTGATAAAATTTAAGTCGGAAGTTAAGTTTAAAATGGAAGCTATAGATATAAGGCTATCCAACATAGAAAATAAATGGGATGGGGTTGGAATTAGAGAAAAATTAAAAAGCTTATTACCAAAAATTCCGCTTAATGAATTTCAAAAATTAAAAATTTTAAAGATTTTTAAGAAAAATTAAAAGATGAGGCCTGTACAACACAATTTTTATGCAAATTTATATTAATATTTCAAATATAGTATACATATTTTGTTTTCAGTTTGATTTCTTGAAGCGTACTGGGCCAAAATGAAATCTCTTGTATTACCAGATGCCTAGAAAAAGTTTTCACAAATAATTTAGGACAATTCTGGAGTTGGATTTTAAAATCAGAGAAATAATAAGTATTATTAAATGTAAGTAAGATACTGTGGTATTCAGAATTATTTGATTAAATTATTTTTTTTAAGCTGCTGTAAGGGAAATCTTTGCCCCAATTGCAGACGGAATTTTTGAAAAAACAACAATGGCCTGGTTCCAATTTTCAAAAACCCGCCTCATTGGAGAGCAGCTTAAAGCTCCAGGTATTTTATAGCTCTCTATAAATGATTTTAAAATTACATATGTATACCTAAAATAAAACTTATATTATACATATTAGTTTTACTTGAGGCATATATGTATTACATTACATTTGTGTTTGTCCTATTGTGTATTAGTCCTTCGGAGGGGACTTTAAGCCCGCGGTCCGTTCCTACCCCTAACCCGCACAAGCCATTCAGTTGGCTTATGGGACTTCTTAAGAAGTAAGGGTGGAACTAAAAGAGCACTTTTGTATAAACTTTTGTATTTTGTATATAAAATCTTAAAGTCAAATTTAACATCTACATATGTCCAAAATTAAACTAAATTGCATATGCTCAAAATTTTTATTAAATAAATTTTGTTTTTATTTTAGGTTTTGTTCATGTTTGTTTTAAAAGAACAGTATATATTATAATGAAAAATTAAGTTTATTTGTATTTATTCATTGTAATTATTTTTATTTATTAATTATATTATATATTATATTATATTTTATTATATTATATATATTATATTTTATTATATTATATATTATACTATATTTTTATATTATAATATATATTATACTACCATATTTATTTATTGACCTATTCCAAAAAAATTCATATTAAGGAGATTCTTCTGAATGAATAATGTACTTCCCTGCTTGTATATTTTTTTTATTTTCAAAACCGACTAGTTTCGACTATTATAGTCATCCTCAGGGTTTCTACAGAAATATAGTTTTAAAAACAGAATTATGATTAAAATCTAAAAATTATACTTACACGTCATTTAAATAAAATATACAGATTAATATTAAACATTTGTATTTATATAGTTAACAAATATCAACGTCATTTCAGACTAAACAAATAAATTATAAATAAATGAAAACACGATTAGAAATATTAGGGTTATGTTGGGATATCTGTTGTTAGTGTAGTGCGGTGTTGTATTTCCTTTAAATGTTTATAGGTACTTTCAACGTAAAGTCATTTATAAGTGTTTAAATATAGGTGTGTAAAATAGGTTTACTTGTTCATTTAGGCACTGTACTTCCTTGTTTTTATTTTGTTCATAGATTTCATATCCTTCCAGAAGTGTTAGTTTGTGATTTTTTTCCTGTATGTGCATAATTGGAAAAAAATCACAAACTAACACTTCTGGAAGCATATGAAATCTATGAACAAAATAAAAACAAGGAAGTACAGTGCCTAAATGAACAAGTAAACCTATTTTACACACCTATATTTAAACACTTATAAATGACTTTACGTTGAAAGTACTTAAACATTTAAAGAAAATACACCGCACTACACTAAAGTCGTTTTTTCGCGTAAATACTATGAAATACTACGGTTAAATAAGTCATGACGTCACAGTTAATTCATATAACCATGGTTAGGTTCCTAACATTTGACATTTGTTTCCTTGTTCATAACCTATAATTTTTAAAATGTGTTTTTACCTATTTATATTTAATTTCTATGCTTTTACAGGTGTAAATAAATTTCTTTGCCTCTTCTTTTACCTTGTATATTCTTTTTCTATGAACCGTAGTTCTTATACCCACCTTTTCTATACCTCTTTTTATATATAAACAGCTGTTTATATATAAAAAGAACTAGTTCTTCACTGTTGTTTACCATAATTAAAATCCAACAGTGTTTAACGTTTATACGAAAATTATTATTGTGAAACTCAAAATTTAGAATGGAACCCCATAGAGTCTCTGTGGAACCCCAAAGAAAAAGACGAAGGTTGGCGGTATGTTTTGGAGAAGATATGTTTAGCACACAACATTATTCTTACATAAACATATTAAATATATATATTAAAAAGAGAAAGACTATTAACCACGTTGAATAACTAGCTCAGCGATATAAGTCGTTTTTTCGCGTAAATACTATTTAATACTACGGTTAAATAAGTCATGACGTCACAGTTAATTCATATAACCATGGTTAGGTTTCTAACATTTGACATTTGTTTACTTGTTCATAACCTATAATTTTTTAAATGTGTTTTTACCTATTTATATTTAATTTCTATGCTTTTACCGGTGTAAATAAATTTCTTTGCCACTTCTTATACCTAGTATATTCTTTTTCTATAGGTACTAGTTTTTTCAATACACGTTATCCAATTCTCCTACATGTTTAATACAAAATACGATGTGGCTCCCGTCCCGAGGCGGGACTTAACTTCGATCCCGACAGACGTCACACTCTAAATCCGTTTTTATTCCCCGAGCTTTTATAATTGGTGTCAAGCTGGATGGCTTAGATGGTAGGGCGTTCGCTTGGCATGCGAGAGGTACCGGGTTCGATTCTACTAGCAGTTGTCAAACTTTTTTTATTTTTTTTATTTTATAAATTTGTTGTTTCTTTGTTAAAAAGTGTTTTATTTTTATCGTAACATAAATTTGCCCATTTTAGTTGGGTTTTTTTCTCAATGGGGCGGGAGTGGGCCAATGGGGCGGGGTCGGTTGGGTTGTGTTGTTGAGTTTGGGTTGGTTTGGTTTTATGACGTAACTAACGTGCCCTTAACATGTATACAGGTACAATTTATTATTATTATTATTTTATTATAACATAACAAATCTTGACGTCAATCGGGACTGAACTTAAGTCCCGCCTCGGGACGGGAGCCACAGCGTACAAAATAAGGAAGAATCAGTGGCGTGCAGGACGGGCCCCGCAGGGCCCGCAATGCGGGGGGGCCCCCGACCTTAGGGGGTCCCGTAAAGAACCACATTGGGTGGTATAAGTGACAAAGGGGCCCCACCTCAAAATTTGCGGGGGGGCCCCCGATCACCTTTGCACGCTACTGGGAAGAATATAAAACAAACCTGCATATAATTCCTCCACTTGTGGAGATTCCACAATATGGAGCACCCTATCATTTATTTACTGACAACACCCCGTTTACCATTTTAATACAAAGTTTAAATTCGGTTTAATATTTTAAATTTCAAATGTAAACAACTTTTTGACAGATCGAAACAGAGAAAAATATATATTAAAAAGAGAAAGACTATTAACCACGTTGAATAACTAGCTCAGCGATATAGTTTTATGGTCTGGTATTTGTGACGTCATAGTTAGGATTTTTGAACGCACTCTAAACGCAAAAATGCCTTAACTATTAACCAAGGTTAAGTTTAATAACCATAGTATTTCATGGTATTTACGCGAAAAAACGACTATAGTTTTATGGTCTGGTATTTGTGACGTCATGGTTAGGATTTTTGAACGCACTCTAAACGCAAAAGTGCCTTAACTATTAACCAAGGTTAAGTTTAATGACCATAGTATTTCATGGTATTTACGCGAAAAAACGACTTAACAGATATCCCAACATAACCCTAATATTTCTAATCGTGTTTTCATTAATTTATAATTTATTTGTTCAGTCTGAAATGACTTTGATATTTGTTAACTATATACATACAAATGTTTAATATTAATCTGTATATTTTATTTAAATGACATGTAAGTATAATTTTTAGATTTTAATCATAATTCTGTTTTTAAAACTATATTTCTGTAGAAACCCTGAGAATGACTATAATAGTCAAAACTAGTCGGTTTTGAAAATATAAAAAAATTATACAAGCAGGGAAGTGCATTATTCATTTAGAAGAATCTCCTTAATATATAAACATACCACTGCTAAAATGGATTACATAATAAAACAAATTTAAGATTAACTTTTATATTTGTTATTGTAGATAATAATAATAATTTACTATTTAATTATAAAATTGTAAATTTTTTAAATAGACATATAGAAAACCAAGGTATGAAACTCAATTTATTGTCCTTGGAGATTAACAAATTAAAGAAAACTGATATTATTCTTAATGACCAAATAAAAACCAATAATTCCCTGCTATTAAACTTATTTTAATAAATTCATAAAGTATAGTGCATTCCCATAATTATTGTTCCTTTATTGTTTAACCCTAATTTAATCTACCCCCAAAATTGTACTAAAAATATTACCTGTAAATCCATCATTAATATAAATAGAAAATTAATTAGTTTGTATATGATCTGAAGATGCTACTGTGAAGCAAAACTTTTATAAAGTGTATATTAACATTATAATATTTATTTGAATTTAAAGTTACAAAACTCTACTTTCTTTATTTGCAATAAAAAAATAAACTAAATTCCTTAATAATTCCAGTAGAATCATTAAAACGATCTTGAATTAAAATGTTGGACTGCAGGTCCCAATAATACCAAGTTTTATGTCCACCAAACAAAATAATAAAATTATAAACCAAATACATAAATACCTTGCACATGTGCGTAGCATACATAAGTAAATAAATTACTAAAAACTCCTGTTCAGTATTAAATTTGATATTTGATATTTCGAGTGGAGCCACGTTAGGGTTCCAGCCCAACGGTGATAACAGCAGCAGCAGCAATTATAGCCCTGATACGTACACCTTACAAGATTGTAACAGCAAGGTGTTGTTCAGTAAGTTTTTCTCCAAAAATGTTAGATCAGAGTAATCATAACCTCCAAATATTTTTAAGTGGTAAAATTTAATCGTGTTTACACCATTAGTTGAGGCATACACAACCAATATATCATACTAGCGAGTCAAAAACTTAACTAATTAAGATGGAAAGGCCTGAAAAGAGAAAAACGTTAAGCTTGCTCATAAAATACAGGAAAATTCGCCGAAGTAATAAAAATATTGTTTACCTTAGATGTTAGATGGCCTTAACGTGATTATAACGACCAAATTGATGATTTTCAATAAATAATGCTTGAAAATATTGCGTTAATTTTTAATGCAACCTAGTGTCTCAAGCACATAAAATCACAATGGCCTCTTTTCCCGGAAATTCGCTGTCAAGGATTAACTTAATCTCGTCCGATTGGCCGACAAATATTTATAAAAAACTCAAATATGGTAAGTAAGTTCACTAATTAATTACTTAAATACTATACTTAATAGCATTTACGTGTATTTTGCAGCTCAACAGAGATTCCCAAATCGATTTATTTAATATACTTTGGTCCAAAGTCTTTGGAGATTTATGATAACTATAGGAATAAACAACATAATGTCTAGAGTCCCGTCAGACGGGTCTCCATTGCGCTCCCGTTCAAACTTTGTGACGTCACACACTGTAAATAGGTATTATTTAACGAACGATAGGAATATTACAATAACCTTGGTAGCTCGATGGAAGGGCACCTGCTTTGCATGCGAGAGGTACGTGGTTCGATACTTCGCGCCTGTACAACTTTTTTTAATTTTTTTTTTAAGAATTTATATACCGAAATTATACAATGTGGCCTTAAAAGCATTTATATTTAATTTTACATTAATATTTTAATTTATTTACCTTTCCTCATAATCATTTTGCTAGTTATATAGGTAATATAAAATGTAATTAAATGAATATTCCTTCGTTGAAAAATTTTTACTCAATGGGGCGGGGGGGCCAATGGGGCGGGGGGGCCAATGGGGCGGGGTCGGTTGGGTTGGGTTGTTGGGTTTGGGTTGGTTTTGAAGCGGGCAGACTCGGGACGTTGGTTAAGGAAAAAAGATCTGCTTCCCGTCCTAAGATTGCGTCATTTGATGACGTCAATCTGTTAACGGGAGCGCAATAGAGAACCGTCTGACGGGACTCTAGACGCGGCGAATAAACAATGTTTATAACCTCAAAGCCGTGTTTACGATGTCACAAATTGTTACTCACAATAACAAAGAAAGTCGGGTTTACAATACCTAACTGCATAGCAATAGTACATGCACCCAGTGTTGCCAACCGTACCATAATTATGGTATATTTACTATTTGTATTATTTTTTAGCGTACCATAATACCATAATTGTACCATAATTTCTTTTTTTACAATATTCTTTTAACATAATTTAAGTATTAATTTTGAAGCTTGCTTTTGCACCTAAAGTAAATTAGGCAACGTTGCTATTAGGTATCAGTCCTGCCAATTAACAGCTGTTTATATTATAAATATAAATAATAATAATGTTTATTAAATATAATAATAATAATGTTTATTAACAGCAAATTGCCACAATATAAATACAATACAATACAATATTATGAAAGTTATAAAAACACTAATAAAAAAAACAAGAAGGCCAAATAAATATCACAACAATAGGTACAAAAATCACATATTAGTGGATAAGCATCAATCTCAATTCCCTTTTAATAGTCCTTTATAAAAATTTAATGTTCTAGGTTGACATATCCTTTTTCTATGGTTGACAGTACTTATAACGAAAGACCGGATTTTAGGCAGTTAAAAATTGGAAATTAGGACATAAATAGGCAATAAAAACCCAGGTACATTTTAGGCCAATTTAGGCCGTATGTGCCTAAAATAGGCCTCAACCGCCTAAAATAGGCGATATGAAATAAAAACAACACGATTGAACATAAAATTTATTCAGGTACCATCAATAAAAATAAATCAAAAAATATATCTCTCTTAATATAAAATACATAATAAAAATATTAACAAAAACTCTAGCAAACAATATTGCCATATGGGCCATGTGAAAACTACTGTATGAATAAAGAAAAGAAAAACCTTATAAGGTTTTTCATTTTAAGTAAGATTTTTTACTTTTATGTTTTTTTCATATTGGCGAAAGATTTGCTTTAAATTTTACAAGTATATATACTTGTAAAATTTAAAGCAAATCTTTCGCCAATATGAAAAAAACATAAAAGTAAAAAATCTTACTTAAAATGATAAGTACATTCATTTACTATTTATTACATTACTATTAACGAAAACCTAATTTTGTTTTACTGTGTATACCATATGTACCATAGTACAGGTTGCTATATTATATTTGTTAATACAATAAAAAATTGTATTGTTAATACAATAAAATAAATTGTAAAATTTGCAAAATTAATTGGTTAAATCAACAAACTCAATTAACAAATATATTATATTACATAAATTTTGCTAAAACAACAATTTAAATTAATAATTTATCTTTTTATCCCAAGTAGCACTACCCCAAGTAACACGACGTGACGGCATTCTACTAGATTTCACGAAATCGTCACGCTCGTTCTTTATAAAGTACATTTTTATATAAATACGTTATCAAAATGAAGGTGACGCCTGCGTCACTTCTAAATTTTTGACGGAACCGTGAAGATTTTTCGTTACAAAGTAACTTTTTAAATAGATACTTCATAGAAAATTTGTGACGTTTGCAGTGCACTTTATTCGTGACGGAACCGTGAAGATTTTTCGTTATAAAGTAACTTTTTAAATAGATACTTCATAGAAAATTTGTGACGTTTGCAGTGCACTTTATTCGTGACGGAACCGTGAAGATTTTTCGTTATAAAGTAACTTTTTAAATAGATACTTCATAGAAAATTTGTGACGTTTGCAGTGCACTTTATTCGTGACGTTTTCGTGTTTTTAGGAACGAGATCTCTCGAGAGAGGGCGTTCTATAACCTTCTTTATCTCTGTCAGATTCTCTGGTCAGCCATTTTCATTGTCGTTGTTTTGTAGAGACGCTGCCCCAAAAACGTGCTGCGTTTTTGTTGTTTTTATTGTTATCATTTGTTCTTATTCATTGGTTTATAGATATCATTTGTTCTTATTCATTGGTTTATAGATAAGGTGAGTTTTAAATTGTTTTAATTACTTTGGCTTGCAATTTTGCTAAAATTCCTATTAGTTCAGTAGGGTCAATGCGCCTGTTAGCCGGCCATCCCCTGTTCTTGACCACAACCTTAATAAACTGATGAAAATAAGCACAGTTTTACTAAAAACACATTAAAAAAGACGACCCCGTTTTCGGCCACCTTTTTGACAGATAACTAACAAATTGCGACATCTTACGAGTCATAGAATAACTACAGTGGGCAAAAGCAGCTGTGTGTGTTTGGCGCGAAACGCTTGTTGGTGGTGGAAGTGCGTGAAATTTAGTGGGAGATCAGGCAAAAAATAGTAAGTATATTTATTTAGTACCATTCAACATGTTTTATAGAGCAATGATGCGAAAGTGTTTATACTAAGCTACCATTTAAGCAAGAAAATAACAATAAATAATCTAACCTAGCTTTAATTTTTAAGTGGTCGGTAACCGGTATATCAAAAAAACCACAAAGCCGTTTGTCGGCCATGTGGCCGAAAACCGGCGAGATAAGTATATTTATATTTTATCTTTTTTCCACCTATAAGAATGGTTATTTCTTAGGGACTATGCGTCTTCGTTTTTAGAAACCTATATTAAATTTCCTATCCAGTTTTCGGCCAGCCCCACTCTTTAATGAAGAGTAATACCTACAACTTGATTTGTTATGGCCAAGAAATGGATCGTCTTGTCGGCCACTAGTTTATTAAATAAGTTTTATATGCGGAATATGCGGTCGACTATAGATAGGTCCATTTTTCGTCATACTTTGTTTAAATTTTCTCGATTTTTATAGATGGCTCCTAAAAGAAACAAAGTGAAAAACCAGACAAAAACACAGAAAACAAAAAGAAAAATGTTTGCGTACTCCCAAGATGGCCTTAGGAGGGCTCTTATTCAAATCCAGGAAAATGGTATGGGCATCAGGGAAGCTAGTAGGGAATTTGCCGTACCCAAAACAACCTTGCAAGATAGGTTAAAGGGAAAAGTCCCTGAAATTCCCATGAAAACGGGACCACCACCACGCCTTACAGTGGCTGGGGAAAATGAGATTGTCCAGTGGTTAATCAACATTGCTAAATGTGGATTTCCCATAAGAAAAATTGATTTAATATCGACTGTGCAAAAGATTTTAAAAGACTGTGGGAAAGAAACTTTATTTAAAGACGGCAAGCCGGGGCAGAAATGGTACCTAAATTTTTTAAGGCGGCATCCTGAAATATCTCTGAGGGAGGCGGAGACCATTACTAAAGCAAGAGCATTAATTACCGAGGAATCAATACGGCTATGGTTCAGAAATTTGAGAATGTATTTAACCCAGAATAATTGTATAGATATTTTGGATGACCCTTCGAGAATTTTAAACGGCGATGAATCAGGATTCCCTCTATGCCCTAAAACGGGCAAAGTTTTGGGTCCTCGAGGGTATAAAAATTTATATAAGATTAAAACCGGGTCTGATAAGGAGAACGTTACGGTATTAGTACAGGGTTCCCACCAACAAAATGAAACAAAATTCCCTGACTTTTCCAGGTTTTCCAGACCGATTTTCATCAATTTCCAGCAATAATTATAGTAAAAATATATTTTATTTTTCTTTTTACAATTTTTTTTAATATTTCTTAAAATATAATAAAAAAATTAAACAGAACATTCATAAAAAATTTGAAAGGAAACAAACTTAGTTTATAAGGTCATACATTTTATAAGTATTTGCGCAAATTATTTATTTTAGTTTCAATGTCCGGCTATATTATTTGTAAAAAATAATCTTCGGCCGGTAATAAAAATAGAAACAATTTTCGGAAAAATCAAGAAAAATTAGTTAAATTCCCTGACTTTTCGTAAAAATTAGTTAAATTCCCTGACTTTTCGTAAAATTCAGCAAATTCCCTGACTTTTCCCTGACTTTCTTATTAATATTTAATTTCCCTGACATTTCCAGGTTTTCCCTGTTTTCCAGGTGAGTGGGTACCCTGTAGTAGTTTTTGCGGCCGATGGAAAAATATGCCCCCCCTAGTGATTTTTCCATACGTTAGACCACCAAAGGCGATAGTAGAAAACATGCCGCCGTCGTGGGTACTGGGAAAATCTGAGAGCGGGTGGATGCGGTCTGATGTATTTTTTGAATATATCGCCAATGACTTCAATAAGTGGGTCGATGAGAATAAATTAAAGAGACCTATCCTGCTATTGGTAGATGGCCACAGGTCTCATATGAGTTTGCCATTTAGCCAATTTTGCGATGCAAATAAAATTATACTTTACGCGCTTCCACCGAATACAACCCACATGCTGCAACCCGCTGATGTAAGCGTGTTTCGGCCTTTAAAGCAGCAGTGGAAAAATACGGTTGCCCAGTGGCAGAGCGAACCAGAAAATTTAAATAGATCTATTACAAAGGTAAATTTCTGTCCAGTTTTCAATGAGGCTTTAAAATCTTCCGACATGACGATTTCCATAAAAAATGGATTTAAACGGTGCGGATTATTTCCCTTCGACCCCAATAATGTCGATTACACTAAATGTGTAAAAAATACTTTGGAGGAACAGCACGCATTAAACTCGACAAGGATCGCGGAAAATGAAGTAATTATCACAGATGCAGACTTTAGGGCGGCAGAAAAAATTATTAAAAAAATTGAAAGTAATTTGGAAACTTACGGGATTAATACCGAAGTTATCCTGAACGAAATTAAATTTCTTGAGGACGAAATGCGTCAGTCCAATGTTTCGTTCGGGACATTTGTGGCGGATGCCGAGCAAGCTGCTTCAAGCATCTCAGTAGACCCGATCATGGATATTTCTGTCACAGAAGACGTCCTAATAGATGAACCTGAGATCCCACCTTTAATGCAAATTTTAACACCCGAAATAGTAGTTGGTGAGGAGAAAACTTTAACTGATTCAGCAGACCAACTAGTAAATTTGATCGAAGGTGCCTCAACAAATGAACTGGAGAAGCAGTCACCAGTGTTTGTTCTTATCGAGTCTAATATTTCCTCCAAAACAGAGGTAAGCAAGTGCGAGGTAAATAGATTATCCTAATAATAATTGCCCCAAATAATTTCAGGAACCTGCCAAAAATTCAATAGTATATATGGCCGAAGGCGTAGAAACAATTGAATATCAGGGGCATTCATCTCTAGATTCAATTCTGGACAAACCAAATCCTTCAGCCAAAATACTTAGTGTGGAGGTATTAGATAATACAAATGCTCTCTCTCTCAAAATAATTTCATTCATTCTGTTTTTAGGCAGATCCGGTAGTACATGTTACAGAAGATGTCAGAACAAATCAACATGAGAGGCAAGCATCACCAGCTCGTACCGATTCTTCGCGCAAAACAACTGTGGTGGAGGAAACTTCAGTGACAAATGATCTGGTGCAACCAATTGAGGAAACAGCCTCATGTTCAAACGTGGAAAATAATAAACGAGAACCACTGCTTTCTTTGCAAGGCGCATTTAAGCAGCATCTGGTATTTCCTGTAGCACTGGACAAGAAAAAAGAGGTCAAAGAGAAATTACCTAGTGCCATTTCCGGAGAAGCATGGAGGGAGTATTTCGCTAAAAAAGAAAATGACGCCAATCATAAACTTAATGAGAAAAAAAAAAGAAAAGAGGAGCGGGGGTTAAAGAAGCAGAACAAAAAACTGAAGACGGGAAAAGTCAGAAAAAATGTTGGCAAAAAACAAGTACCAAATAAGCCTACAAAGAAAAAAATTAAGTGTTCTTTGTGTGATGATGAATTAGTCAGTGATGCCGAGGAAGAGGGTGAAAGGAATATCGGCTGTGACTTTTGTCAAAGATGGTATCACCTACACTGTACTGAACTCAATGATCTACCTTACTCTGTGGTAGCAACCATGGATTATAAGTGCAATTTTTGCTAATTCTTTAAACTTTGTTTTAAAATAATTTATTTTATATTTGTTTTTAGTTTGTTTGTTTTAAAATAATTTATTTTATATTTGTTTTTAGTTTGTTTGTTTGTTTTTAGTTTATGGTTTTGTTATGCTTATTTACAAAATCAGTATTAAAACTTATTATATAATGTATACTACCTATCTACTTTATGTTTAAACTATTTTGGTACATCTAAACTGAAAAAGCGGCCGAAATATAGTCGTTTTTTCGAGGCCGAGCTATGTATAATTATGACGGTCAAAAGATGGTTCTTTTGTCGACCGGTGGCCGAAAATAGGTATGTTCCTGGCCGACTTGAAGCACAACATCGCCGAAAACGGGAAAAATGTCGCTTTTTTAGGTAATTTAATCCAGAATTTATTTCAATTGCATAATTCATTTTGTGAGGTAATATCTCGATTAAAATGATATTGAAGTATCATTTGATGTCCCGAATATTAGAAAATGTTTAGAGGTAACAAAAATACGATTTGTTAAAATTCGATAATTACTTAACTGGCCGGCAACAGGCGCATTGACCTAATTGTATTCTTTTCGGTATAGATTTGTTGCAATATATTGATGACGTTGTTTTCAATAATTTATATACCGTACCTTCATTTGCAAGCTATACATACGGAAAATACATCGTAGGTGAAACAGACAAGTCGAAGTCAGCGGGAAACAGGTGACCTTGTTTACTGGCGATTAAAATTTTATTACGTCCTAATAATTTCTGAGAACTTTTTCGCTTTGCAAATGAAGGTACGTATATTTATAAATATATTTATTATTAAAATTTATTATTATTTTTGCCTAATTTCACATCGTACCTATTTGCTAGTTTTTTTCAAGGAATTTTTTTGTGTGTAAAATCCTTGAGTTTTTTTAACCCTACATTTTTTTGCATTATAAACAAAAAATAAACAGACCCGAATTTATTATTGGTAATTTAAGCGTGCATTAGTTTAAATACTTTAAGCATTATAACATTATTAATTATTATGGGCATTAGAATAATTTATAATGTGCAATAAATACCTACCTAAGTATACAGGGTGTCCCGAAATTAGGGGGCCAAACTTAAACAGGGCATTCTTCATAGAAAAATAACATTTTTTTGCATAATAAACATGTATCAAAAAATGCCCCCTAACGGAGCTACGACCCCCTGAATAGGAGCCTAAGAGGATCATTTTTTTAAAACTATTCCTAGAGGTTTGAACAGGAAGATATAAATTTTTGGAACTTTAGTAATTTTGACATGCTGAATCTAGATCTAAGATCAAAACTGTTAAAATTCAATCATAGGCGTAACATTTGGGGGGGCAAAGTTACAAAAATAGCCCTAACTTTTTTCTGGGTTAATGTTTTAATTTTTTTTTATAAAATTATGAAAATTTATAGTTTCTTACGAAAAATAGGTACTCTTTATTTAGATCGCTCAGAAAAGTTAAGGCTAGTTTTGTAACTTTGCCCCCCCCCAAATGTTACGCCTATGATTGAATTTTAACAGTTTTGATCTTAGATCTAGATTCAGCATGTCAAAATTACCAAAGTACCAAAAATATATATCTTCCTGTTCCAACCTCTAGGAATAGTTTTAAAAAAATTATAATTTTTATATTTTTTATAATATATCCTCTTAGGCTTCTATTCAGGGCGCCGTATCTCCGATAGGGGGCATTTTTTGATACATGTTTATTAAACAAACAAGTGTTATTTTTCTATAAAGAATGCACTGTTTAAGTTTGGCCCCCTAATTTCGGGGCACCCTGTATATAAATATTTAAAAAAAAATAAAAAATGACAAAAAATAAGATATTTAAATTAAATTAATTCCTGCTAGCCATCGGTTTTTTTGTAGGAAATGAGTAAGAATTCTTGTCTTAAGATTTTGTCAAAACGGAGGACATATGAATTAGCTAATAAGGCTTCAAAGCAATTTATAAAGAGATTAAAACAAAATAATTTAAATAAGAATTGCATAAGTAAACCAGATAGCTCAAACCACCAGTCCAACTCTCAAGATCAAGAGCATGATCATGATTATGTTGAACATGATCATGATTGTGTTGACATAAATGATACAGAGGAAAAACGTATATCTTTTGCAAATGAAAGTGACAATTTGCAGGAATTACCTTGTATAACTGAGCGCACTGCGGAATTGCAACCATTTCAGGAACAGTTAAGACAATGGGCAATTACAAATCAAATTAAACATTCTCATTTAAACGGATTATTAAACTTGCTTATTAAAAATGGACATTCAGATTTACCCAAAGATGCACGGTGTTTGCTAAATACACCAAGAACAACCACTGTAGAAAATGTAGGAAATGGAAAATTTTTATATTTTGGATTAGAAAAGGAACTAAATAATAAACTAAAAACCAGTAAACCAGAAAATAATATTATAAAATTAAATTTTAATATTGATGGGCTGCCAATTGCTAACGACAGCAACAAAGCTTTCTGGCCAGTTCTCTGTCAAATAGCTGAAAGTAATGAAAAACCATTTATAGTATGCATTTTTGAAGGCTTAAGTAAACCTCAAAATATGAACTCATTTTTAACTCCATTTGTTTTGGAATTAGAAAATATTTTACTAAACGGTTTAAAGTTAGGTGATAATGAATATAAAATCAAAATAAATGCATTCATTTGTGATGCCCCCGCTAGATCCTCTGTTCTTAACATTCAGTCACATAATGGATATTATAGTTGCACAAAATGCACTGTAAAAGGTTTATATGAAAGCAATAAAGTTATATTTTTGGAAACAAATTGCTTACCTAGATCAGACAGCTCATTTAGAAACCGTTTACAACCTGAACACCATAAAGAAGAAAAATCGGTACTGGAGGTTTTACCAATAGACATGGTGAAAGATTTTCCTCTCGATTATATGCATCTTATATGTTTAGGTGTCGTAAAAAAGATGATCGACATTTGGCACGGTAAGCCCGGTAAAGGCAAGTTAAGATCAACAACTTTAAATTCCATTTCTGAAAAATTAAATAAATGTCGTAATTTGTTGCCAACCGAATTTAATAGAAAAAGTCGAAGCCTTAAAGAATTTCGTCAATGGAAGGCAACGGAATTCAGAACGTTTTTATTATACACAGGGCCCATATGCTTAAAAGGTTTGCTTGAAGATAATTATTACAAACATATTCTTAGTCTAAGTGTGGCCACGTATTTATTAATTTCTCCAAAATTTTCTAAAACATCACTAAATTATGCTAGAGAACTATTATTATATTTTGTCAAGAATTTTTCCAAACTTTATGGAAAATGCAATGCAACTTTTGGTACTTTAGAGAACTTTAGTTCCTTTCCCTTTGAAAATTATCTAGGTTCTATAAAACGTCTTTTAAGAAGTGGATTCAATACTTTGCAACAAGTCCATAATCGAATTTCCGAAATGAATAATATGCAGGATAATAATAGAGCAAATAATAATAGGAAAAGTAATTTGTCCTTGTCGTTAAAAAAAGGAAATAATGTTGTCAAACTCAAAACTGGAAAAATTATGAAAATAACAGATATCATAGAAAATAAAATTTGTGGGTTTGAAAGTACCTTTTTAAAGTCTTTTTTTAAAATTCCTTGTGATTCACGAAAATTATCTGTTGGAATACCATCATTTTCAGATCATAAGGTAACACGTTGTTTGGACGAAGTTGTCTCCAAAGTGGTAATTTTACCTTGTGAAAATACTTTCGTCATTATTCCTCTCGCTCATACTGTTCAATAATGTAAGTATAAACAGCAGTCTAAAAAAATTACTTAATTATTTATTTTAGATTTAATAAAAAAGATGTTTCAAGTTATCCAATTGGAGAATGGAGATAATGAGGTGGTTCCTAAATCATGGATAAAAGAAAATAAGGTACCTAATAAATTCATTAAGCTTTTTTTTAAGAATACATTAAAACTTTATCAATCCAGGTATTATGGTCTAACATAGCAAGAACATATGCTGAAAAAAATTATAATCCTAGGCGCACGTGGAAATTAGAAAAATGTGTCACATGTTTTGATAATGCCTGCTTTGGTGAGATATTTTTGCACCATTTGTTTAGAAAATTTAATAAAACCGTTTGTTTTAGATACTTATGAAAAAGCACTTGAAAAGTGTAAAATTTTAAAGGAGATAACTGATTCATCTCATCAAAGTGTCGACAGTTCTATGGTCCATAGCCGTTGTAAAACGAAAAAACAGGAATCAGACTTTGAATATTATGCTGATAATTATCAGAGTAGTTATGATGAAGATACAAATGATGAATTGCCTTTAGATGACTTACCAAGTATGTCAGAAGAAGAAAATGATGAAACTCTAACGGATACAAGTAATGGAAAGTTTTCAAAAAAATCACCAATCAATAATAACACAGAAAAAGATGAGATAACCAGAAGTGAAATTATTTATCCTTAAAAGCAGCTGGCATTCAACCAGATACCGTTACTGAACTAAATAATCCGCAATTTAATGGTGTTGAAAAAGCTACTGTTGCAATGAGCAATCCTGATGGTAGTCTTGACATAACGGACCTTTTACCAAGTCTTTGTAAATGTTCTGGTGAGATTTCACACAATATATTATAAAATATATAATTTAATTTTACATTTTAGATGTAAAAGACGAGTTAAAAAACGCATTTAATCGAGAAATAAGTGAATTAAGAAAAGATATTAAAGAAATAAAGGCTGCCTTAATGGAAAATTCCAACCGCATAGGTACGACTGAAAACATTTTATACTAATTAATAGGTATATTTATTTCTTTCTTTCTAGAGACATTTATGTTCCAAAGCAAAAGGGAGTGGGAGGTCCTTAAAATAAATATTCAAAATATTAATATAAATCCAAAATTCAGTCAAAATGATATGGATAAAGAACTAGAATCGATATTCCAAGAAGTATTGCCTTTATCTTGCATAGAGAATTTAAAGGTTTTAAATGATTTATTATTAGAGGAGAAAAGGGAAAATTATTTTGTAAGTCAGTCCCTTTTAATTAATACAGTGTTCAAAGAATCTTATTGTAGGTTAAAAAAATCAGACAAATAGGTGGTAAAGATGCCAAATCAACTTTAATGAACATAATTAAAACATGTTTTACAATGGAATTCCAAAGAATGTGCAATTGGTCTGGGGCCAATAAAAAAATCAAATTACAGGGTTCAAAAGTAATAGAGATAATTATAAAATTTATGCTGGAAAATTTCCATTTAACTAAAATTGATATAGAAGGGCACTTAAAATACATTTTTCAGCATAGTTATGACCGCTTCAAGCTAGAGGTAAGTTTTAATTCAAAATTTAGAATATCATTGATTGTAACATAAAATTAAAATTTTAGACCAAGCAGCGGAACCAAAGCACTATAGTGCATGAAAGAACATAAGTGACTTCACCCCATTGTATAACAATAATTATTTTAAAAGAAAATATTTCAATTAGTATTGCAATAAGCTTTTTATCAAAATTCTCTGTTTAATTTAAATACCTATGTGATGTGGCAATAAATAGCCAAAGAAATATTTATTTTGTTATAAATTTTTTAGTATAGTTTAGTTTTTGTGTCTGGTGGTTATTCTAAAGAAAATATTTTAATTTGTATTTTATCAAAATTCTCTGTTTAATTTAAATACCTATGTGATGTGGCAATAAATAGCCAAAGAAATATTTATTTTGTTATAAATTTTTTAGTATAGTTTAGTTTTTGTGTCTGGTGGTTATTCTAAAGAAAATATTTTAATTTGTATTTTATCAAAATTCTCTGTTTAATTTAAATACCTATGTGATGTGGCAATAAATAGCCAAAGAAATATTTATTTTGTTATAAATTTTTTAGTATAGTTTAGTTTTTGTGTCTGGTAGTTATTCTAAAGAAAATATTTTAATTTGTATTTTATCAAAATTCTCTGTTTAATTTAAATACCTATGTGATGTGGCAATAAATAGCCAAAGAAGTATTTATTTTGTTATAAATTTTTTAGTATAGTTTAGTTTTTGTGTCTGGTGGTTATTCTAAAGAAAATATTTTAATTTGTATTTTATCAAAATTCTCTGTTTAATTTAAATACCTATGTGATGTGGCAATAAATAGCCAAAGAAATATTTATTTTGTTATAAATTTTTTAGTATAGTTTAGTTTTTGTGTCTGGTAGTTATTCTAAAGAAAATATTTTAATTTGTATTTTATCAAAATTCTCTGTTTAATTTAAATACCTATGTGATGTGGCAATAAATAGCCAAAAAAGTATTTATTTTGTTATAAATTTTTTAGTATAGTTTAGTTTTTGTGTCTGGTGGTTATTCTAAAGAAAATATTTTAATTTGTATTTTATCAAAATTCTCTGTTTAATTTAAATACCTATGTGATGTGGCAATAAATAGCCAAAGAAATATTTATTTTGTTATATTTTTTTTTAGTATAGTTTAGTTTTTGTGTCTGTGGTGATTATTCTATACATAGAATATTTTTGTATACCCACAAAAATGGGTCTTTGAACTTTAGTACATCTACATATGTAATTAAATGTACATTTTTTATTAATAAATAATTAATAATTAATTAATAAATGTGCCTTACTTATTTAGCAAAGGAAATTAATTTATGTAATTTGGTTATTATTATTTACTGTAAATGCGTACTTATATTAGATTTAATTATTGACCATGGTCGGTCAATAATGAAAGCTAAATTTCTGTAAAAAAAATTAGCTTTCATTATTGAGCGACCATGGACAATAATTAAATCTAATATAAGTACGCATTTACAGTAAATAATAATCGTCACTAATTCGTCACAACCCTGCAAAGCAGATTCTACCACGGATTTAGTGTCAAATTCGTCACATTATTGTGATAAAAAACCTAAAGAAATTGTCACGACTTGTAGGCACGCCTTCGTGAAGATTTCGGGGGTTAAAATTAGTGCGGTTTGGCCACTGTATCAGTCACAGAATCTATAAATTTTCGGGATCACGTTGAGCTCACGACAAGTAGAAATCGTAACAAATTTTGCAACGATTTCTTCACGAGGTGTTACTTGGGACGTGACGATATTATACTAGGGTTGAAGAAATTGCGACGATTATACGTTAGGTCTACGTAAAACTAATTTTTGTGACAATTTCGTGTCGAAAGAATCGTGACTATTGCGCGTCAAAAAATCGAGACGATTTTACCTTAGGCTTACATAAAACATAAAAGAAAAATAAATTTAAGTGATAATTACGTGTCGCAAGAGTCGTGACGATTGGGCGTCACGGATATGGTTCTTTACTTTCTGACATTTGATCAATCACAGCGGCCGTATAGTAATTTTTTTAAAGACCGCCCAGACTGCAATGAAGGTTCGAAAATATTCCAGGAATATTCCCTATAGCCTAGGAATAATCCGCTTCATTCTAGGAATATTTATTGGGAATATTTCTAGAACGATCCTCTAAAACTTCCAAGCATCATCCAAGAACATTCCCAGTGAATATTCATTAGTTTAGTTGCAATACCTCTCACCGTTGCTTACGCACGCTTGATAACTATATATACCGATAGGTTAATAATATTAGTTGGAGATGTGCGTATGTGATGGCACAGCCAAACAATGATTAGAATGGGACTGATCTACTCAGTAACTCAATAATGGCTATACTTAAGTTAAGTTCCTGGGTATAAGAGGCAATAAGGGCTGGAAATAATCCCCAAATTATATCAAGGAATATTCCCCTAACAATCCTTGAGTCTTCTGCAGGCAGATATATGGAATATTCTTTTTATGATGCCTTGGTTAACCAAAAAGCGGACATTTATATTCCTGGGAATATTCTGGGACGATTGGAATATTCCTGGGAATATTCCTGACATGTGCGGGGAATGTGATTTTGCGGTCTGGGTTTGGGCCTAAAAGTCCTATGGGGTCCTGGGCTACCTATAACCAAAATTTGAAAATAATAGATTTTTCCAAAATATATATATTTTATTTTAATGTGCTTTGTTCCTATTGCCCCGGTATCAGTCGATATAGGAACACCAATGTTATTTTCCCTTGTATGCCGATTTAACGCGTTAAAGGTGTAATAGGAACACAATATATTTTTTTTAAAAGCGGCGAAAAATTCATATAATGTGATTCAGACCTTGGGTGGGAAGAAAAAGACCAATATATAACTCAAAAATGTTTTATTTTATTATTTATAAAACGTATAAAATATATAAAAATAAATAAAATACATAGGTATTCTAAAAATCAACATAATAAAAAAAAAAACCTTTAAAAGTGTCTAAATTTCAAAATTTTCCCTGTTCCGATTCACCCAAATGCGGTTCAATTTTGCGCATTTTGAATTTATAAAATTATTAGGAAAAAGTGGAACACATTTTCAACAATTTGACTTTTTTATATTTTAAATGAATAACTAAGACAACAATCACGAAAGTTTCAGCTTATTTTACTTATCCCTTTTACGTTTTCCAGATGAAGCTTTTCGGAGCACCCATACGATAACAAAACTTGCTCACAATTTGAGGTTAGCCCATAATGACAGCTACACTGTTACCAATTTTTCAATGCTACCAACTAGCAAACACAACATTCCTGTACATGAAAACCCACAAAAGTTTTTGATTTGTCAATTTAAATTAACGTAAGAAATGTTTGAAAACTTTTTCCCACTTTTGTCCCGATTTCCCCTTTAGTTCCCATTCACCCCATTTTACGGTATTTATAACCGCTTATCGTGAAGATTTTGAATGAAAACTTAACCACAGAACATAACCCAACATAACCTTACTTTTATCTTTAGTTTATTCAGTCTTTTTTATGCTACAGTGAGTTATAGTGGAACTATCATAGTTCTAGTGAAATAATTAAGAAATAAATACCTGTAGGCTGCAATTGAACTTCGGTATTATGTATTAGAAGAATTACACTACCTATGTAACAAAAAATCAAGAAGTTTATGTTTATTTGCAATTTGTAAAATACTGTTTGAAATCAGTTGGGGCTTACTGACAACATATATATTAGGGTGGCCCAAAAAAATAGGAATATTTTTTTTCTCTTGTCTCTTGTGAAAATATGTTGGTTTGTCATGTTTTAAGAGCCCTGTCAACAGATCAGCTCCATTAAGAATTTTTTAGGGGTCGCTCAAGATTTTTAAAAATTTCCAAAATCGTCAAAAATTGGATTTTTTATTTATTTTAATTTTTTTTCTCGTTCCGATATTATTTTTTAATTTAAAAATAATAATGATTCTGAAAATTTTAAATGGATATTTTGATTTCTAAAGGTATCTCAAGATTTTTTTAACTTTTAAAGTAGAATATTTTGAATGTTTTCGAGCGACCTCTGAATATAAATACCAACGAACTTTTAAAAAAATTAATCTTGAGCGACCCCTAAAAATTTTTTAATCGAGCTGATATTTTGACAGGGCTCTTACAGCATGATAAACTAACATATTTTTACAAGTTATTTTTCGAGTTATTAATTTTTTTCGTTAAAATTTGAGAAATGCGCTTCAACCAACAATAGCCTATAACTTTTTTGTTATTAGGTTTGCGAATATGGGGGTGGAATTTTTGGAATCTTAAAACATTGTTTAAAAGATTCCATGTCAATACTTTAACATTTTTTTACAAATTACCTAATAAAACCCAGGGCAAATTAGGCTAACTTGAAAGGTTAATAACTTTTTTATTTTAAAAGAAACACCCTGTATATTTTTACATAATCAAATAGTAAATTAAAAAACCTTTCAATTGATGTTACTATTCCCTATACCTAAAGTTAATAATTTCGGGTGAGCTGACGGTATTTATGGTTAGGTACTACGTAATCTGTCATTGTTTAAAATTTAAATTAGCGTCAATTTTTTAGGTTGTTATAAACAATTTGTTGACTAACTAAGTTTCTTGTAAACAAAATTACTACTAATAAATAGCAGTCAGTTAGTCAAGAGAAGCAACGTGTAATGTAGAAGTAAAAATTAAGAAATGCTTAAATGTAAATGGAGGACACTTTAAACATTTAGTAATAAATTATTAATAAAAATTGTTAATTAAAATATTGTTGGTTTATTAAATTGTTACAGTTACGCATTTTTTATTTTTAATAGTTATTTATGTCATTAGGCTAAGCTCAATTGAGCGAAGCACAAAAAGACACTTCTTGGCCGAATGGCATACAACATTTTATCTTCAAAGCACTTTATATAGGTCAATTTAATTCAACATCAACGCGGCCTAACCTCACTTTTTTAGAATCTCATTTATTTATTAGCTAAAGGTTACAATAAATGTACAATAATTATTATTGCTTTTAGAAGCAGAAATAGTTTGACAATACCTACCTACATGATTTAAGTAGGAATAGATTTTTGTAAGAAAATTGTTTAC